ATATTGGTTTCCCTGGATGGAATTTATTTGATTCCTTCGTGATTTTTGCGGTCCTCGGACCCTCTTTATACCTGTGGACAAGGGATTCGAGGCTCTAATCCCTCATTGTGTCCGAGGACCGGCAACCCGAGGCCAAGGCCAAGGCCAAGGACTTGCCTCCCAAGGCCAAGGCCAAGGCCAAGGACTTGACTCCCGAGGCCAAGGCCAAGGACCAAGGACTGACCTTCGGTCCTCGAGCCGGTCCTCGAGGCCAAGGACCGGCTCGAGGAACACATCACTGCAAAGAACCCCAGTCTGCAACGCCCCTCACCCATCTGTCAATGAAATTTTTTGATGTTTTTTTATAAAAGAATCCATTTGTGATAGAGGTGGCATCATTAAAAAAACATCCGTCTGCAACCGCCCACGCCCCTCGCCCCCCACATATGTTGTCGATATTTTAATTCCTTGGACTTAATTGCATTCATTGAAAATTGGTTGTCTGACCAGATATTTGGAATGGTATTTATTTGGCCTCCAGGGATATCTTATACAGCGCATATCCTGTAAGATTATGTCTACCCTTTGTTCAAACAGGACAGAGAGGTAAGCTTCTTTTTTTGTTGCTCAGTGGACATAAGAACAATTTTCAGAATTTTTACGATAAACAGACTCTCCTGTGATTGCGTTCTACTCTCATGGATTATTATGATTTTTTTTTTTTTTTTTTGGTAGATTTTATTTATTTTAAACAGGAACTCCATTTTTCTTCTTTTTTTTCCACAAATCCATTGGGCTGTACTCGTTTATGTACAATACAATTTGCTTTACATGCAGCATACAGCTACATGTTCTAAAATGAAGACGAAACAGCTCACCTTTAGAAGCTTGTCCCTTTGATCGCTGGAGTCACATGAGAACAGGAGGGGTGGGGGGAGAAAAAGTAGAAAAGTTATCTTTATGCAGTGTTTGATTATACCCTTTAACTATACCGGTGGTTCCCAACTACTGTGCCACGGCATATGGGTGTACAGTTTTAAGAGCATCAGGTGTGCTGTTGGAAACAATCCAAAGTATGATACGGCTTAATATTGCAGCAATGCATAGTGACAGGCAGAACAAGAAAATGTTCTTCTAACTATAAATAATTTTGAGTCCAAACCAAACGGCCTCAGATTTCACACCATGTCAATTCTTGACAAATTTAGAGAATGTCATTATTTCAAGCTGTATCCAGTATTTGCTGCAACATTTTCTTTGGTGGTGTGCCGTATGATGTTTGTCATGTAAAATGTGTGCCTTGGCTTAACAAAGGTTGGGAAATACTAAACTGTCAATTAGGGTGGTCCATTTTGGAAAAGTTTGTCGGATTCGTCGGGCCGGGTCGGAAATCTTGTCGATACTATGACACAAGGATGTGTGCAAAATTTTATTCCGATCGGATAATTTTATCCCGTCCCGCAGAGCGACCAAAGTTTCCCCTATGGAAAGAATGTTACGGGGCTGAATGGTAGTACGGTTTCTCCCGTACAGTAAGGATTTTGTTTTGCTCAGTTCGCACTTGCAATAATTCAAAGACGGAAGACAGGAACGCATGTATTGCAAAAAAGGCAACCGTGGTTATCCTTCAACACTGGTGAGATTGTTGGTCCATGTTAACTGGTCCATCTGTCTATCTGTCCATCTGTCTATAATGTCCATCAACACTAGTGACACTGTTAGACCGCAAAAAAAACGAAATCCGCCGTGCGTGCCATCCCATGCCTACTTCGCGCACGGGTGCAACGCCCGGTGTCGCTCCACGACACTTCGGTGGCTGAGCGTGAGCGTCTTGCAGTTGCAGCGGCCATGCTGAACGCAGGCACAGCCACGACTAACGCAATACGCAACGCTTCTCCTGGCCCAGCAGGAACTGCCGATCCTCGTGCTCTTTTTTTTTTTTTTTTTTTCGATGTCGAAAAGCGTCCTCAGCTCAGCGTCCAGGAAGAATTCCGGCGATTCTCGACTTCAATTGAAAGATATTAGCTCGCCAGTAGGTGACCGTTGTGTGTTAGGCGTGCGTTTGAGTTTGTCTCCGGCTGCTGAGAGCAGCGATGGAATGGTTAGTTAGTCAGGAGGTGATCGTTCGGGCAACATTCAGCCCAGCCAGTGTCACGCATGGCAAAATACACGGTTAAAATACACATGTTCACCCTATTGAGACCAGTTGTTATGGTGGAAACTTTGGCCGCTTTGCGGGACGGGAAAATATCATCAGATCGGAATGAAATTTTGCACAGAACCTTGTACCATAGTATCGACAAGAATTCCGACCCGGCCCGACGAATCCGACAAACTTTTTTTTTTGCCATGAAAATGTGGACCACCCTACTGTCTATACAGATCAAAGTTGCACTGACACTGAAATCAGAATCAGCACCAATGTCAATACAGTATATCTGTAAAAGTACTTGTATATAAAAGCTCAGGTACTGTGACACTGATACCACGTAATCAACCTTATACAATACCTTCCGGGTAGGTGCAACGTCAGCCATGTGGAGATATTTTAAGGCAAGGGTCTCAAACTTGCAATTCGGGGGTCATTTGCAGCCTGCAGGATGATCTTTTGCGGCCCGTGCTTTTTTTTGCCATGTCGTTGCACTGAGCATCATTTTTTAAAATCACTTTTGGGCTGCCATTGCTCAGGCTCAAGACAGCTTTTGACAAAACGTGATTCTGAAGTGACACGAAGTGAAAGGAAATGATATTCTGTCACCCACTCCCAAAAGAGTTGCGTTTTTTTTCCCTAAACCTGCCGTAAAAAAAACAAAAAACACTTCACTGAAAAGAAAGGTTGGCGATGAGGACAATCAATTTCAAGTAAAACAGGAGACTGAATGTTTTTTTGTCGTTATTGATGACAAGGGTACTGCGACATTCTGTATCTTGAATACACAGAGAGAGTTGGAGTGCTCCAGAAATCAGCCGCCATTACTCAAGTAGAAATGCTTTGGAGCATGCTAAGTAGCAGGGCGATGAAAGAGTGGACAGGGTCACCAATCTTATTCAAGTTATGAAGAACTATTAATGTCCTGAACTGTTATTAATAAAGATTGAGAAGATTGGATTCGCTGTACCTTTTTGGAAATCTTAAAACCCCTTTTGTGGTATATTTAATGCGGCCCAGACACACCCAGACTCGATCTCTGGTGGGTGGCCCCCACAAAAGTTGAGTTTAAGACCCCAGCCTCAAGGTAAACATGGATGACAACACTTTCTTGTCGGCAAACTGTACCACATTGCCTCGACACAGTGGTGTTTATGTGTATTTTTTAATTGCAATTATTGGAAGATTTTATTTTACTTATTAATTTACTTTAAATCAATGAACACTCGTGTATTAATCATGATTTCCTCTTCAATCAAATGAAACGTGATGATTCTTTTTCCCTTAATTCCCCTGCCTCAGCCTACATAAATGTTTGCATGTTTGTACTGGAGATGTAGCTGCTTGCAATCGCAATGTACGTGTGTAGAGTGTCAAGAAAACATTTTGACTTGATTCCTGTCAAATTATTTGTTCGTTTTCTTATATTTCAACCTTATTCTAATGTTTTTCATATAAGATTATGACTTCATTGTTGATTCGTTGCGAGTTATTTTTACTCATGGTAATTTTTTTTTTAGATTTCTTGTAGTATTATTCCATCTATAGTCTTCGATGTACACGTGTAAACACTTTTGAGTTTTTGGTTTATTCACGAAAAATGACGGATTTTTTTCTTGTACAAGTACACGCTTGGGAATACACTGCTGTCTCGTTTTTGATCAATATTTAGGCCTACTCAGCTCCTGTATTTTAATGTTGGCTATTTTTGTGGTAGTCGGCGAGCTAAGTATGTTTTTGGGGGTGCTTCTTGGTGTCCAAAGTTTGAGTAGCACTGTTCTACATCATGACTGAAACGCTTCGATTTAGCGACGTTCTACTGGTTAGCTTTAGCGTTTAGGGAAGTCACTGGCGATCGCGTTGGTGGCATACTGATGTGATCCGTCGGCACTTTTATTAATTAGCACGGAAACGTGCATGTATCATTGGTGTTATCGTGTACAGCTAAGCTATTTCTCGTCGGCGACACAATTTCTCATTGGATTTATGTTGCTTGAACGCTTCCAACTTGCTCGTGATGCCCAGCGCTTCCGAGGAGCAGGCAGCCACAACAGCCCCGTCGGTCGGGCGCTAAGGTTAGCAAGCGGCTAGCTGTCCAGCTCTCCACAGGCGAGGCGATTTGGCGTGTCCTACCTGAGGGTCAATGCTTGTGGCAGACATAATTCATGAAGCAAGTCCCTGGATTCTCTCAGAGCCCGGCCCGCTGACTGGATTTCAAGCTCCGTGATGTGGGGAAGCGAGTTGGCAGCTGCCAGGCGGTACTTGGCACTTCTTGCTGCCTGCTAGCAGTGCCGCTTAGCGCCGCGCTAGTAGCTCAGCTGTGGTGCTGCTTTTCCGCTGTGCGCCTTTCCCGACTTGCACGCTTGCCACCCTCCAAAAGAAGTCCTTCTGGGAGTTTTCAAGTTCCGGTAATGAGTCACTCTGGGGATCTCCTGCCGTGGAGAGGTCTTTCCTCGTCGATTTTTTTCTTTTTAATTTTCAAACTTTTGACGATTTTATTCAGGGAGAGAGAGACAGCCCCTGTGTTATACGTTAAAACTCAGTGCAGTACAAGACTTCCCCAATGGCTGCTCCAGTCCATCCGGCCTTGGAAGCCGACGAGCCGTTGTCACGGCTGCACTTCCCGTCATCCGCGCTGGGGGCGAACGTTTCCCCTTCATCGCGGGGCGACGTTCCATACCACCCCCGCAATAAGTGAAATCCATGATATCGAGATAGCGTTAAGACATAAATACACCCTCGATTTCACCGCATTTATAGCCCTAGATTTTTTTCAACTGATTAGGGAAAAATATATACAATCACATTTAACCACATATATCGTAATGAAAGAGAACAAGAGCAAGGGATAATGCAAATAATAATAATAATAATAATAATTTGGTTTTGTGCCCATTTGAAAATATTTTATGTCCCGATGAAAGTGAGCATGGTGTTGGGATTCCCCATCGGGAAATAGGTAATTAGGTCAAAGTCCATCCATCCATCCATCCATTTTCTGATCCGCTTTATCCTCACAAGGGTCGTGGGGCGTGCTGGAGCCTATCCTAGCGGTCTTTGGGTAGTTGGCGGGGGACACCCTGAACTGGGTGCCAATCGCAGGGCACACAAAGACGAACAACCATCCGCGCTCACACTCACACTTACGGACAATTTAGAGTGTTCAATCAGCCTGCCATGCATGTTTGTTGGAATGTGGGAGGAAACCGGAGTACCCGGAGAAATCCCACACAGGCACGGGGAGACCATGCAAACTCCACACAGGAGCACCTCTGCACTGTGAGGGCCGCCCTTAGGTCAAAGTGTTTTAGTAATTCTAATAACATGATTAATTCTTTTTGTTCAGTTATTTATAATTCCAGCAATCTAATTATCATTAATCAACCATGATTACAGAATTAAAAATGTTTAAATATGCAAATACCATTATTTGATTACATCATCATACATACATTAACAATAAATGAATCAAGGAATTATTCAATGAGATGGGAGAATGAAATCAAACGAATATTAATACATCCATTTTAATTGACAAATTTGAGGGGGCGGGGCGGCCCGGCAGTCGAGTGGTGAGCACGTCGACTTCACAGTGCAGAGGTTCAATTCCAGCTGCGGCCTTACTGTGTGGAGTTTGCATGTTCTCCCTGTGCTTGCGTGGGTGTTCTCCGGGTCCTCCGGTTTCCTCCCACATTCCAAAAACATGCATGGCAGGCTGATTGAACACTCCAAATTGTCCTTAGGTGTGATTGTGAGCGTGAATGGTTGTTTGTTTGTGTGTGCCCTGCGATTGGCTGGCAACCGGTTCAGGGTGTCCCCCGCCTACTGCCCGAAGACAGCTGGTATAGGCTCCAGCACCCTCCCTTATGAGGATAAAGCGGTTCAGAAAATGAATGAAACTTGAGGGGGGAAAAGATGAACTCATCCAACCCATGTTGGAGTCTGCACTCAATTTCACAGCAAATGAAGCGTGTTACAGCAGTCACTCATAGTCACCAGCAGGGGACAGCAGTGATACTTGGATGATTTATTCCAATTTGTTTTGTCGAAGATCGAAATGACAGAGAATTAAGAGACAAAAATCCATCCCTTTTCAACACCGCTTATCCTGAAAAGAGTCGAGTTTTTTTTTCCTCTGGAGCCTATCCCAGATGACTGTGGACGGAAGGCAGGCTACAACCTGAACTGGGAGCCAGTCAGTTGCAGGGCACATTCAGAGAGGAACAAACATTCACACCCACATTCATACCATCACTGAGTAGGAACCGATCCCTCGTGCCCACTCCCAAATCAAGCGAGAGTACCACTACACCATCAGCGACGAGAACCAAAACTAAATTGAATGAAAAAAATACATGTTTCATCAAGTATTTCATTTGAATATTTATCAGATTGTTTCCATATTTAATTTCTTGTGTTATTCACTTTATTGGTTTTAAATCTTTACTGTCAGTGATCACTTATGACAATGTTTAAACAGTCTTGCATATTCAAACATTGCATATTAAAACAATCTTTTTAAATTTGTAATTCAACATTTCATGGAGAGAGAGAGAGAGAGAGAGAGAGAGAGAGAGAGAGAGAGAGAAACTTTATTGTCTTGGAATTTAGAGGCCCCCCTGCAAAATTTACAAAATTATTTTGTAAGATTTGTTGTTTTTGCTTGAAACATTTAGTATATATATATATATATATATATATATATATATATATATATGCCAATAATATTTAAAAAAAATACACTTTTTATGTTTTAAATTACTCTCAAATTATCAAATGTTTTCATGTAAAATAACAACTGGTTTGTTTCATTACGAGTTTTTTTCTCCTTGTCATATGTTTTGATATTGTGGTATTTTGTCTTTAATCTCAGATAATTGTTGATATTTATCTTGTAATATGTTAACCATATTCCTGTCTCATTTTTTTCCCCCAAACCAATCCGTATCTGGATTTCATTCTTGGAAAACGATGTCTTTTTTCACGTAATATTACAACTTTAGGAATGCAATTACGATCTTGTTTTCAATAAATATTTAGGCCTACGGCGTTCCCGTGTTTTATTGTTGGTAATTATAGCGGTAATTACAGAGCCAAGGAGTTTTGTGGGGTTGTTCTTCGTGCCAAAAGTTTGAGAACCACTGTCCTAAGTGTGAAAGTATGTTTTCTGAAATGTTTGGCATGATTTGTCTTTAGAGGCGGAGCCACGTGGCATGTTTTGCCAGTCATTCAGTGAGCTACCAATGAGAAAACATTCCAGCTTTGTTTGTTTGTTTTTTTTGTCTTCCAGAATGCAGGTTCCCATAGGCAAGCATGCAGCCCCCCACAGAACATCATATTTCAACTGCTGTGTTTCACTTGCTTTGAATTTACACTCCACTATGGACCGCAGAAGGGATGTGGGGCACAGCACAAACACGGACAGGAATCCCCTTCCGCTCCACGATGACAGATGACACAAGCACGATGCTGTACATCCTCGAAGAGCCTCAGATGCGGCGAGAAGGCGAGAGGCTTCGAACATTTCGCAGCTGGCCGCCAGATGCTCCCGTTACCTGTGGGGACCTGGCCAAGGCGGGATTCTTCTTTTTAGGACCAGGAGATAAAGTCCAGTGTTTCTGCTGCGGCGGCATCCTAAGATGTTGGGTGCAAGGAGACAGCCCGGCCGCCGAACACAAGCGGCATTTCCCCACTTGCAGCTTCATTCTGGGCCGCGCCGTGGGAAACATTCCGCTGTTGAACGGATTGCCCGACTCTGTGGACGGCCAGCTGCTGAGCCAACTTCAAAGGATGACGATGGACGACCAGGGCGCGACGGGGCAAGCGGTCTACCCCGAGATGGAGGCAGAGGATTCCCGGCTCACGACTTTCCACAACTGGCCCACGGAGGCCACAGTCCAGCCAGATGTTCTCGCCAGAGCTGGATTTTTCTACACAGGTGCTGATTTTCCATCATCTCTTTCCCTACTATATTCTCCTCTCAGCAACGTTTGCATATGCACATTCTGGGTCAGATATTTAGCTTTGACCGCGTCGCTGCTAGAGTGACCTCTCATTGTGACAGTTGATAATTGTCCTGCTGAGTCAGGATGTTGTGAAGAGAACATCCTGGACTAAACTGGGGCTGCTAAAGCAGCGGGGACACTCGGCTGCACATTTTGGGAGATTACCACCCAGGTCTCCACACCAAGACCAAACAATACTAATTTATATCAGCAACAGATCAGGGTTCACCAATTGTAGCATCCCCATCTGAAGGGCGCTCAAAATCTTTTATTGATGCTTCACAAAGCCTTTATACCTTCAGCTCGAGCGGCATTAAAATATGCTCAATATTAATTCCTTTAAATTGTTGACGAAAATAACTGGATTACTGTGAACATGTCATGAAATTATTCGTTTCTTAAACATCTATAAAAAGCACTATAAATATTTCATTCGTTTACCAGACTATGAACATGTATTTACTTAGCATATAAGAGTGTCTAAAAGACGGAGAATGTCCAAAGTCTGCGATCACTTCACATTTAATAAAAGTGATTAAAGTGCAATGTGACGATCGCTAAGTACAACTGGCTTAAGTCAACAAACTGTACGTCTATGATAAAGTAAGCATTCCTAGCAATTGGAATATAGAAACTGTAATCCATCTCAAGTGGTTAGGTTAGAGGGACGATGAAAACTCGCTTCATTGTGCAAATATTAACAAAATACACAGTACAGTAAACGCAAGCACATTTTTAGCTGAGCTACCGATGTCCTAAAATGACGCGTGACACTACACCTACTGTTGCTAATGACAAAGCCAGTTAACAGCTGGCCAACTGCACATCCTCTTTTTCTCACTTCCACATCTCTCAATCAAAGATGTATGTAGTAATGACTTGTCGGCTTGCGCCTGAAGTCAGAGGGCTGCCATCTTATGTTGCCACTTTTACTGACAACTTCTGTTAGTATTTTGCTGAAACCACTGTTCTCAGTGCATGTTTTAAGCCAGGATCCCTTAAAGGAGTCATGAGAGCCTCTCAAAGAAACAACTTCACTGTTTGCATTGACCATTACGAGTATGTTATGTCAGCATCGGGAATCGTGACTCACATTGGTTTGGGTTACATTTCAGAGCAAATTTTTCCTGATGGCCTTTCAACATCATGCAGACAAATCTTTGAGCAGCACTTAGAAATATACCTTATCAGAGAAAATTTTAAATCGCATTCGTACCAATTAAATGTGGATGTAGCGATTCTCACAGACTTATTGGTACAACTGTATACCACACATGGTGGCGTTTTCGCCACGGAGACAGAAAATAATGCAAAAACGCCACGGGGAAGTCAGTGTACTTATATATATATATATAAAATCTTGCAAATTATGTTTTGCCATTCACGGTCTGTGTTGAGTGACATCACATTGACACATTGAAGTCAGTTGGTGAACTGGGCGTCCTTTTTATTCCCCAACTTTGCAACTCGGACCTCCCAGTTCAAAGCGGCTTTCTAGTGCGCTGTTCGTAGTCGGAAAAGTCCGACTTCGCAGTGTGTAGCATTAGCCCATTCATATTGCTCTCAACAGGCCAAGCCCACCGTTGAAAGGCACATGCAAATATTCAACATCATAGATATCACAAGGGAGAATATGATGATGATGATGATGATGAGACCTAGTGAACAAAAATAATACCTGCATCTCACATGCATATATGTTGGTCTTCCACAACAAAAACATTTGTGTACTTTGTCTATCGCAGGGGTGGTCTGGAACATAACTCTCACGATAAATGAGGGGTTACTGAAATTCTAAGGACGCCTTTGTGCGCCACTACTACTAGAGGAAGCCTGTGTGGGCCTGCCATTAGCGAAACTAGTAGCACACTTTGAGAATCACTGGAACAGACAAACAAACATTCACACCAATAGAGTCTTCAATGAAGCAGCCATGCATGTTTTGGGAATGAATAATGTCGGTCTTAAGTGCATACTCGGCAAACTGTGTTTTGTTCCTCAAATCTTATCTCCCTTGTCTTTGCGGTCAGGTCATGGCGACAACGTCAAGTGCTTCTACTGTGACGGGGGGCTAAGGAACTGGGAGCCAGGAGACGACCCCTGGCAGGAACACGCTAAGTGGTTTCCACGGTAATGACGTGTGCAGCTACGACAGCGTCATCTGAACGCTTCATCTACCTAATGCACAAAATGCATTTTGTGCATTCACAGCAAGTCAAAGCAGATTGTTGTGGTCTTTTTTAGTTGTGAATTTTTAATCCAGTCAAGAGGACAGGAATATATTAGCAACATCCAGGATGCTCATTTCCACCTGGGCGACACTGTGGTGAGGTTCTTATCACTTCCGATTTGGAATGCTGTGCTCATCATTATCTTCATTATTAATCACTTACTTGGCACCATGATAGAATGGTGATTAATGGTCATTTATTCAATTGTAAACCTATTCAACTCCCCAGGGTGGCTCACAGACATCCACAGGCGGAGAAATTGGCTCCAGAAATGGTATGAAATGCATTCAGCGAAAACAAGGGCAGATATTTGCAGTTTTGCTTTTTACATGCCAATCATCATGTGTGTATGTGGTGCCAGCAAAGACTATGTGCTTGCTCCGTTTTCTTTGCTTAAATGAAAGACTGAATGATTTGTTGAATCAATCATTTACACATACAGCACATTTGACAATAAAGTTGTCTCCAAAATTTGGATCACAGCCTGGCGCCACTTTGGATCGTATAATAGGACGGGGAAAAAAACAACAATAACTTTAAGCCGACTGGAAAAAAAAGTTTAAATTACTTGAGCCATTTGCTGTAATTAGAATTATACCTGTCAAACATGTCAAACAATTCTACTGCATTTCAAAATATATACAGTACTGAATATGAAAAGTCCCATGAGACACTGCATTTCCCAAGAAGTGATCACAAATGTGACCTTCCAAGTATATTAAGAAACATGATGTGACATTTTAAACTTTACTCTAGCTTTGTGACTTGTATAAAGCTAAGAATACACATGCACCGATTTAACTGTTGATGTCAAGCAGCGTAAATGCGTAGTGATTATGTATCTATCAATCTATTTATCGTGACTTATGACGGCGGCCATTTTTAGATCTTTTCACTTTCGCTAGAGTGCTGAATTTGTGAGAATGTGATGAATGTTAACCAATTCCTTCCGCCATGTTCATTTTGCTCCCTTCAAAAGTGGGAGGCACGTAAACAAACCGTTGTAATTTTCCTACACCGTTGACCTGATTTGGATGTAAATACTGTACCCTCAAATGAAAGCTGGAAGTCTGTCGTTGAAGCAGATATTCAGATAACATTGGTTTCATTTCAAATCAATTTTGGTGATGTTTAGAGTCAAAATGAATACAATTGTGTCCATGTCCCAATATTTATGGACCTGATTGTACCTCAAAGTTTCATCAATGTTGGCTGAAATCTGCCTGGTATCTGTCACATTTCAGATGTGGTCAGCGGTTTGGCCGCGTCGTCAATCATGCTCTCGCCGGTGGTGCAGACGGTGCTCCAGATGGGCTTTGAAGCCAGCCTGGTGGAGAGTCTGGTCCAGACCAAGTACCTTTTGACAGGCCAACACTACTCACATGTGTCGAGCCTAGTCAGTGATGTGCTGCAAGCAGAGGAGGAGGACCGACAGAGAAGGCCGCAGAGCACAGGTAACGTCTGGGAGGCGAAAACAGTGATTCCCAACCACTGGGCTCATGTACATTGAGGAAAACATCCAATGTCATTTAACTGGTCCAAAAAGTAGTATTAACCATATTTAATACTGTGGTTTTGAAACGTTTTAAACTAAGTACCAACCAAAACCTGCATTGCTGCCCAAGAGACTGAAGACAGAATACTATAAGAAATATGGAAAGACTGCAAGATGAGGGAAAAGAAATTCAACAATATAATGATTGAAAAACATTTGTTATTTATGAGATTACAGTCAAAATATTTGAGGAAAAATCAAGCAACTTTACAGAAATTAAAAAAAATTAGAGGCAAAACTTTTGTTAATTTTACAGGGACAAAGTTTAATTTTATGGTAAATTAAAACCTCAAATTTTCAGGTGATAAAGTTGTAGTATTTTGAAAATGAATCAAATTCATTTTCTGGAACATAAAGTTGTAAGATTGTGATTGATATAATTTTACAGGAATAAAGTCAAAATATTACAAGAAAAAAATAATACAATCAACCAACATTTTTACCACTATTAAAACAAGGCAGAGGTTTAATGCCTGTATATTATTGAACGCCAATGTAACAAAATGCAGTTTGAACACTGCTTGAATATGGAGGGGAGGGTGTGTTGGGGGTGGGGGACTAGTAATGTTTCATTTCAAATGTATTGCACGTAAAAGAAAACAATCAAGATTAAATGCGAATGAAATACAACAGGACTGTATCTGGGCAGTGATTCTTTTGACATAACACGAGAGGTACAACACTACACCTTGAGAATCACTGATTTATTACAAATAACGTTTTCAGGAGAGTATTCTGCGCAACAATAATTTGGCATCCAACATTGGTGATGAGAAATGCATGGCTGTCGACAACTTCAGTGGATGAGTGGTTATTAGGCATTGTTGTCACAGCAACATGTTCTCCACAGACTTCCTCCCACCGTAGGTGTGAATGGTTGTCCGTCTTGACGTGTTTGTCCAGTGCCTAAGAGTTCGGCAGTGTGCTCCACCTCTCGTCCTCAACGGGGAAATAAACTCCAGCCGCTGTGACTGAAAACATGATCCATCCATTTTTCGAAGCGCTTGTCCTGAACTGGCTCAATTATGAGTGACTGTGGATGAAAGCCTGATTTAGAGTGACAACTAGTGCGGAAGTTGATATATGACTGCCAGTGTTTCATCACGTTTGGACTCCTTCGCCAACAATGTCATGAATGCCAATCATACACATCTCTTGCACAATGTGCATTACTGTTGGGTCTTGACCTCTTATAATACGCTCGAAATAATACCCTATGTGGACGATACTGAGGTCTCAATTACTGGAACCGAACCTGTTCAAAATGATTATTTTTTTAACTTTGTAGTAGATTCAGTGTATGCCATTAGGAAACGCCGGGGTGCCCAAGTCCTGTCCTTGAGAGCCGAGATCGAACCTGTTTTAGATGTCTCCCTCCTCCAACACACCTGATTCAAATGATTGCCAGCAGGCTTCTTCTTCAGGGCTTGCTGATGAGCTGATCATGCGAATGAGGTTTGTCGGAGTAGGGAGACATATAAAACATGCAGGAGAGCAGCCCTCGAGGACCGCAGCTGGACATGCCTGTTCTATAGCCTCATTATGGTGGCGGCCTGCTGCAGCCTATCCCAGCTGGCTTTGGGGCAGAGGTGGGTCACACCCTGAATTGGTCACCAGCCATCACATGGCACAAGCACAGTGGTGCCTTGACTTAAGAGTTTTAAAATATACGAGACTTTTTTTTTTTTTTTGCTTTGGAGCGCTGTATGGTGGCAGTGAACTCAATTAGATTAATTTCACAATAAGCATCAAAAAATGAGACTTCAAGCTGTTTAATGCCATTCCAGTTGAAGTTTACTGTCAAATGAAACAAACATCAAGTGTAGGCAGTTGCTCCTTGTTTATTTATAACAATCACGCTTTGCCTGAAGAAAGCCCGATTAGCTCAGTGCTAACAAACTACAAAACACTATCGAGCAGGGGAAGAGAACTCCGGTTCGAGAGCCCTATCCTGCCTGTTTTCGATCCCTCTTTCCTCCAACGCACCTGATTCAAACGATCAGCTCTGTAGAAGCCTCAATCGATCATGATCAATTGAACCAGGTGTTTTGGAGTGGTGAGAGCTCTAAAACAGGCAGGATATGGCTCTCGAAGAACCGGAGTTCCCTACCTCTGCACTAGAGCCATGCTAACGGTTAGCAACAACTGTCGAGGTTTTACTGGCAACAAATAGTTGGAACACAAATGACACAACACATACACAATCTTTATCTTCGATGAAAAATGACAAAGATTTCATCTTCCAGTATCACTTACAGTAAGGATGGAAGAAATAATATTCTTCTTCGTGCATGCATGCATTACACCACTTCCCAGTGGCCAAGGTGCGAGCACCAAAAGGAGAAGCACAATGATTTGGATTGCACGACACCATAGAGCACAAACTCTTTCACACTTGACATTCTATGTAATTATGCCCTCACTTGGTTTTTATCAAATTTATCATTCCATACTATATTTCTTCACTAACAAACACAAAACGGGGGGCATGAGGGGCTTGAACTGATAAATGGCATTCCAATTCATTTCAATTTGGGAAAGATGATATTACTCATTTTTCAAGGCAGCGCTGTACAGATAAACAACCATTCGCAAACACTTCACACCTATGGACAATTCAGTCTTCAATGAGCCCAAATGAGCATATTTTTGGAATGTGGGAGGAAGCCAGAGTACTTGTTGAAATTCCTTGCAAGCATGAGGAAAACACAAAATCCAAAGGGGAACCCTGAACCTCGGATTTGTGACAGACGCGCAAACCACTCTTCCACTGTATTGCCCGTAGATAGAGGGAAAAAAAACAACATTTTAAAGTATTTCTGACTTCATAACATCAGAGCCTGACAGAAGGCAAAGACCTGATGCTGGGGACGTGAGGACGCTATCACCACTGAGAGACAAAGGTCACAAACGTCGTTCATGCAACTCAACTTGAACCATCCTTTTTTTTTTTTTGGTGGTTATTTGTTTTAAACTCACGTTCTGACATACTGTATTCAGTCTCTACAGGAAGGGAGCCCAGTCCCGAAGAGCTCCTGAGGCAGTTGCAGGAGGAGCGGACATGCAAGGTGTGCATGGACAAGCTAGTGTCCATCGTGTTCATCCCGTGCGGTCACCTGGTGGTGTGCGGTGACTGCGCGGCCAGTCTGCGGCACTGCCCCATCTGCAGAGCCATCATCAGGGGCAGCGTCCGGACCTTTATGTCCTGAGACGACGCTGTCCAATTTTCCGCTCGTAGGTTGCCATTATTGTCAGCAGTAACTAAATGAACTGAAATCTACAATAAACATTTGAAGCTGCTGAGAATTGCAGATTGATTTGAACATTGGCTTGACAGATTTATCACTTCAACTGTAACTCCAGACAGATAAACATTTGTAGTAATACAGTATATTCTGCTTGGCCCCGCCAGTCAATAAACATGGTACAGTATTCTGATAAATATCAATATCCATTTTAAGGGGCTGCAGCTTAGTCCTATACCGTCCCCTGCTGGCAACTGAAATTGATGTCAACATGCCCACAGGGTGGCATTGTGAACGTCACGGGTCACCTGTTTTCTGGGTTTGGTCATGTGAAGTTTGAAAAGCGAGGCCGAGGGCAATTTCAGTCAACAGAATAGGTACAGGACAAAATGGCAGCCCACTGAAATGGAATGATTTATCTGCTGATTTCTTATTCAGTTGCTGGAACATTAACCAGGAGGCACATACAACATGTTGTAAAGAAAAGAGTTAACAGAACACTGCTGAAAGTGAAAGTGCTCAGTCTTTTCTTTTATTATTAAACACTTGTTTACATGAACACAAGGAATAAACATGGAACAGGGACACACAGTCAAATCACATTAGGATTGGGCACAAACCGGAAGAGAAAATAGAAAACAATTTCTACATAAATATTAACAAGGATGATTAATCTTTTCCGTACATAGAACAGTTTTACGAAGTTATATTACACAAAGAGGAAGATGAGAGATTTAGTAACGTTTCTTTCCAATACTGACTGACAACGAGATGTGGGCGCACGCGCACACACACACACATACACACTAAATGAGAGCAGTGATTTGCAACCAGCTTGTCATGGCGAATTGTCCAATTTGGCTTCAATTGTCTGGATTTCTCAATTGCAAATATATCATTCTCAGCAACATACAACGGCTGGTAAAACAATAAAATACTTTTCATTAACTGGCATAAGGTACAGTAAATTTGTGTATCCATCTGTTGCCTTTGCTACGTCAGAATAAGTCGTGGCTTCCTGCGAGTATTTCAGCTTTGTGTTTAATTCAACAGGACCACATTTCACACCGACTCAATTTGTGAGTAAATGAATACAAGACCATCCTTATTTCAGTATTCACTGCTTATGAGACATTGCTCAATAGAGGTTGGGAAATACGGGACTAGATTAAAATCACGTAAATAAAGACATTGGCATTTGGCCAAAGGAAGTTTGACCAATCACGCTCAATGCAGTTCATTGTATGGTCAAAAAGGGCACATTGGACTGGGATATTTTGGGACCACCAGGCACTGAGAATATTAGAGAAATCTGACAAGCAGTAGAGCTATTTTCAGCTGCCAAGAATAAACAACATGGTCTGTGAATAGAACAAAAACGAGGAAACGTCTTTGTTTGCAACTCTTTTGATCCTTAAGCTTCACACGTTCAATTTGGAAAGCGCCGAAACATTTCAAGCTCGAAAGATAAAAACAAGTGGCCCTAAAATAACCCGCAGAATAAAACATTTCCTCTTGCCATTTCATCTGAATTTAAAACGCCACCCCCCCCCCCCAAAAAGTACTGTACTTAAAAACATTCTGCTCTTGCACATGGACGCAGTAACCGCCAGAGGGCAGTAAGGCAACAGGGGATTTGTCTCCCACTGAGTGACTTGTAGCACATTGGCCACAGGCAAAGATAAGTGCTTTTCAAGAATGAAATACCTTTGTAGAAACGTTACAACAAGGTAAACCGAAAAATATGCAGCCTAGTGGTGGTGTTCCATTGTTATTTTGATACACACATACAGTCAAGTTCATAAATATTGGGACATGGACTCAATTGCCATTTTTTGGTCTCTAAACTGTCACCACAACGGATTTGAAATGAAACTGCAGACTGTTAGCTTGAATTTGAGGGTATTTACATTCAACAACAATTTACAACAGCCAAAGTGTCCCATTACTTTTGGTTCCTTGAAAAGTTGGAGGCATATATACAAACTGCTGTAGTTCCGACACCGTTCCCATGATTTGGATGTAAATACGTACCCTCAAATGAAAGCTGACAGTCTGGAGTTAAATCACAGCTTGTTCCTTTCATTCTAAATGTGTGATTGTGGTTTGGGTGACGGTACTTCAATTGCTAATGTTTGTTGAAGTTTAAGTTAACAATAGTTTGAGTTTGCATTACAATCCCATGATTAGCTACCAGCGCTTTTTCAAACACCAACACCATGACAGTTCATTGAAAGCAACTTGGCTGTTGGTGAAAATAATCACAAATATAAGACGAGAGAAATAAAACTTTTAAAACTTGCATGCGATGATTTTTGCATTCGTGATATTTCGCAAACAACTAAATTCATGTTCCTGCCATCATTCAATGATGTACACTGTCTATTTTTGAGGCTCGACCTGAAGATTGGCTTCCTTTTGCGGTCTGCCTGTGTACATATGTACAAAAGACCTTTGCCCGACAGAAACAGTCGGGGCACAATGGTTTGTTCATTCCACTGTCATTCAGCGCCATTCACCAGAAATGGCATGTAAAATGACTTCAGCTCAGTGCCACACACTGGGAATGCTGGGCGGCGATAAACTCAGAAGTAATTCCGATGCTGTTAACTCAGAAGTAATTCCAATGCTGTTAACAATTGTGCTGATGGGAAGGCCACGGCACCTCGGCACAGAACACAATACAAAAATATTGACCAAAAGTTGCCCCAAAACAGACATGTGACACTAAGAAAGAGGAAGACAATCAAACCAAGGTGGATTTTCCATGTAGCCCACCAGTGAGTGCGGTGTTTGAAGTACTGAAAAACAGTAAAGTGAGAGCGGGAGGAAAAGACTGGCACGATGTCCCCAAATTGCGGGACAAACAGTTGGTCAAACTGTGGCAAGCAATGTCGGCATCACTTCCCTCCAGGATGATTGATCCTCTATTTACGTAGACCTGCAAATAAAACATGGGAACGAGTTGAAAAGGTGAAAACAACACACTACTCATCAATGTGTCATCAATCTAACATATTTCAATTCAATGCCACATGGAATTAGGCAAAGGGGTCCTTCGCATAAAGAAAAACTCGTTCTCTCTGAGACTTGAGAGAAAGGACACAAAGCGAGGAAACAAAGTCCCAAATTAGCAACAGAAAGAAAACGCTGTGCTCTTGAATTGCAGGTTAGCACCCTTGGCAGGTGGAACGAGGTCATTTTCTTTGTAGACCCTTGTAAGCGCTTTCCAAAAATGTTCATTTCCAAAATCTCTTCTTAGAAACACAGCTGTATACTCCACCGTACATATTTGTTCTGATCTCGAAACTGTTCGTATGTACTTTTTGACGGCATTGGACGACTGCGGAAGGTGTCGACCGACACAAATCTGAAATTAGGTAAAGCACCCGTATGAAAACATCATTGCACCGATTCAGAAGCATTCCATGCAAAAAGTAAGGCACTATAAATAGGAGACAAGTGACGTTTGGGGATTATTTTCAAACGAATGAACAGTGAAAATATGCAAATGTCCACACTGAGTACATGGTGGTTGGACTGTGCCAAATTTTCCAGCAGTTCCACAGTTTATGCGCCTGGAATATGGTCCTAAAAGTAAGTAGGATTAGAAATAGTCTGACGAACAAAAGGAAGGATTAACTTTCGAAAATAATGTTCGCCTTTCCTTATGACATCCAGTCAGGTCCATAAATATTGGGACAAATGTTTATAAACCTGAGTGTACAATATATTCGCACCCATACGCATAGTTACCTGGATGAATGAATCATCCAAGATACAAGCGCAAGCAGAGTTATTTGAAACGTTTGCGCCACATAGTCCAACAAACTTCCCCATTCTGTGTGAGCGACCGTCATTTTCTTTCGGCATTTCTGCTTAAATATGGATCAGAAAACGTTTGTTGTGATTGATGAGTAATGTGGGTGGGGGTGGGGAAGTGGTTGTGGTGGAATATGGAACACTGACGAAGGGACGTAACCTTGGCGTAAAAGTGACAAATGTGAGCAAGCACTAAAAGCGAGGGGAATATTCACATGCATCTGCTCACCGTGTCGGAATCGCATACAGTACACATATAGCTGGCTGACAACACGTCCGTACTTACAGGGACACGGGCTTTAGGAGGAGATGAGATGGTTTCTCATTGACATGGTAGAGTGGGAATGGCTCAAATCCACCAATAAAATCAACTGAAAACAAACAAAAGAAAAAAATCAAAACCATGAATTATGGAATGAATTAAAATGCCAAACAAAACAAGAGAGCTAATCAACATCAACAAAAAACATGGAATGATATGACAACGGAGCAGAAAGAGACGTAACGCACAAAAGATGTCAGTGGGATGGGAGCAAAACACAATGGCGCCCTGAGATACAAGTGACCCGATTGAACTTTAGTTCTTCGACAGATGAGTCATACGGATTTGTGGCTTTGCCATGCAAGGTGAAATTTGAGATCGGAGTGGTGTACACGGAGGCAGTGAACTCAACTGAACGTACTTTACAACAATTTTTGAAAAAAAAAAACAACAACAACAAAAAACCTTCAAGATATTTAATGGCACTGCTAGCTGCTTTTTACTGTCACACGAAACATAAAACAAAACCTTTCACACAAATAATGTTGCCTTTGGATTGTCAAGCGAACAAACAATGTGAAGTGCCAGACATGCCAATGGTTCGTGTTAGTAGTTCCGGTTTTAGAAGCAAATGGTGGAGAAACACACGTTAACATACTCCAGGTATATTTTCTTGATTCGCTAGCAAAAAAAACCCCACAAAGTCACTTGGAGTTGTGAAACACTTCCTTGTTTGTGTCTGTATGTCTGTTATACTGCCCCCAGTGGCCAAGTCGCACACACCAGAAGGGGCAGCAATGAATTATTCATACTGCAGTGTTGAATTCTTAACCTTCTATTTAATTACAGTACTTCTACATGTTTTCATAAAGCACAATATTCCAGAGCACAATTATCTTTGTTAAAAGAACACCACAAACATTGAAAGCAATTTTATTTCTATTAATTTAAATGGGAAAACAAGATTTTATTTCAACCCACCACTGTATATATTTTTAGTAGTACCGACACACACACACACACACACACACACACACACACGCGCACGCACACACCCTAAAAAAAAAAAGAATAGAAACACATCACTTTTCCTTTCATCTGAGCATTTGCTCTTAGCCCGAGGGATCACGGAAACAGGTGGAAGCCGTCCAGCTGTCAAAACTGCCTCTGCATTTTTATCGCTCATGCACAGAGGTGACCTTCGGCCGCATGGCGCACGCACAAGCCGCTCGGTTTATTTCCTCGCTTAGGAGGTCAGACTAGAGGTGAGGTGCCGTTGAACGGGCGGCGGTTATGTCCGGAGGGCAAGAAAATTGCTGCTGTGAGACATTTTGGAGACGAAGGAAAAGCCTCTGTGATGTTGCTGAGGTACAAAGGCTGAGAGAGAGGGAGGGAGTGTGATGGGATGGCGTGGGTCACGCTGTGCGCTTTGACTGACGGGAGACCAGAGAGATTACGTGAAAGGGGCGCATATAAAACAGCTTTGTGTCAAGGCCCACGCAAACACCAAATGGAAAGATCAACTGATGCTGATGACAACGTGATTTATCAAAGCACAAGTCAAACAGCCGCTTCCGTTCTCTCAGCTAAAATGTGGGGTTAACAGACACATGACCGTCACGGAAACTACAGTCAGGCCTGATCGAGTCCATTCTGATAAGCGGAGGCAGTGATCTGCTGAATACTGATAGGTTGGAAGGATGAGGGTCAGTGGCTACAGGGGGCTACAAGAGTGGCCCGGCCCGTTCCTCTGTGACTCACGTTTATCTCGTCATCACACACTCACAGATTTCTGCTTGTTTGTCTAACTCTGACACTCTCTTTGAAGCCTGCTTGAACAAAACAGTGAGGATAACAGTGACGTGATTGAAATTAAATGGAAACTCAGAAGTCAGAAAGCCTTTGAGTTCGTACACTCTTTTTTTTTTTTTTTTGCCGTGCAACCAGTGAAGAACCTCTATTTAATGCAAGGGTGTGTTCCAGAACCATTTCCAACAGGTGAAACATCCATGATAGTGTGGTTTTACGCCTCCTGCAAGCTTGGCCTCGGTCTTTTGCCGGTGGTCCTGACTCCTCCGGCAGCTTATGTCCGGGAGCTCCTAGGGCAGCTCTGTCTCCGCGGCTTCAAGCTGCTCGTGGCTCCTGTGGCTGACAGCCTACTGTGATGGCCCTTCTTCTCCCCACTCTGTGCCTTGCCTCGGTAGCCATCTTATGTATTTAATGATCTTTTTAAACTGCAACTACTTGCCCCAAAATTGTTCACGAGTCCACATACTGCTGTTAGGTGGGAGGTAATGTGTTTGTGTCTTTTTGGTTGGGGTGACACGCGACATCCGTGAGTCTGTGTGAGTGTATGGAAGTGAGCTGTGGCAGACAGCAGGCCTTGAGTGAGTGAGTGTTTTAATGGGAAACATTACCTCGATTTAAGCTTTCAGGTTACAAATGGGTTCATGGGACCAATTAAGTTCATAACTTGAGGGGCAGCACTGCCAAACTTCAAAACTTCCCTCTCCAGATGACAAGTATGGAGAGGGAAGTACATATGTACAGTATCTGTGTATCCCAGAACCAAGAGTCATGGGGACTGGATGGGGACCACTGCTGTTAAACATTGTGGCTCAAAATGAAATGGCCTATATCGAATCATGACAGCGAGCTGTAACCCAACCATGTGAGTGAGTGACTGTGTGTGAGACATACTGGCAGGATGATGGCGACACGAAACACAGGCAGGGAGTACTGCGAGACGTGACAAGATGTTGCAGGGAAATTGCAATGAGTTGATAGGCTGCTCAAGATAGCACAATGTTTCAAGCGGGAGATACAACAGTTTTGTGAAAATACTTATATCATTTATATATTATACTGTCACACCAAGCATAAAAGAAAGAATTACACAATTAAAACAAGTGATATATTTTTGGCCCCTTTATGACCTGCGGACAACCGTCCACCTGCTTTATAACCACCCACCAAGCCATCCAGTTTCACAAAGGATTTTCTGGGACGTGACTCAGCACATAGGGCGGCAAATATAATTAGCAGACATGCTAAAGTGAGCATATCCCACCGCTCCGCGGCACAACTCTCTCTGACCTACTTTCCAAAGAGGATTTTCCCCACCACTCGTGCTGACGGTGTGTCTGCGAGCCACCGATAAGTGCGTTAAGATTCACATGGTACACAAACATGGTGTCAGCCGCACTTAGCACACACAGGCGTGCGCACACGCACCGCTAGTACATTAGTGTCTTGAGATAAGAGTGACCCAACTAATGAGTTGTTTGAAATGCAAGATGCCTTTGAGCCAATTTTTTGTTTTGACTTGCCAGTGCTGTTTGGGCTGTGAACTCAACTCACTTCACAATAAGTAGCAGGTTGGCAGCTAAAAAACAGTTCTTTGAAAGAGAGGCGTCAAACTGTTTTTGCCACTGCCAGCTGAGGTTTAACGTCCAAGTAAACATTAAACAAGGGGAATTACACATTGTTTGTTGAAAAAAATAAAATACACAACTTTGCCTTCTGCTAGCTTAATGCAAACAAATGATGCAAAACACAATTGAAAGGCAAACGAATAGCATCAACATTTACAGTGTTATAACCCTTTAAGGTCGGCTGAGCACGTGCAAAGACAATCAAATGGGCAATGATTACACGAGAGCTCTGCCTTGGAGGACTGGATTAAATCATACACAAACCAACCAACATTGTTCATTGCGTGATTTTTAATTTCGTAAAATCTTTATGCTTGTACCAGGCTTAAGCAACAGGGGCTCAAACACAAACACATAGACAGAGGAGATAACAATACTCATGGGCATATTTTAACGTCTCAGAAATACATGACTGCAGCTTGCTCGTCACATGCAGTAATTGTCAAAAGACTTCTTTGTTTGTGCCTTCATGACTGTATAGTCTTGCTTCCGAGTGGTTCAGTTGCACAAGCCAGAAGGAATCGCAATGACTGAATCATGATGCGGTTATGTTTTATAAAGTAAATATGGTGCCGTTTTACCCATATTACAAAACTTTTTGTTGGGCTTTCTGAGGAAGCTGTAACGGATTAGTAGTGTTTCTATTCCTTTCAATGGGAAAAGATGGTGTGAGTGTTTTAAGTTACGAGTGTGGTCATAAAATGAACTGCCCAAAGACAGGTGGGATAGGCTCCAGCGCGCCTGCGACCTTCAGGAGGATAAGCAGTTCAGATAATGGAAGGCTTGATATTCTAGCGATTATTCCATTGATTAATCGAATGATCTGATTGAACTGTACTGTTCATTAGAATGTATAACAAAACCATTTTCACCCAGATGACAGTTTATTAACCAATTATGGTTGTTTACTAGGGAATGTTTAATATTTGGTCATGTTTAGTGATTGGGAAAAAAAACCAACTAATCAATATCGCACAAGGAGGATCGATGATGCAATCACCAACTTGTTTGAAAATGGTTCCGTTTCTGGTTTGGTCATTGCTTTTCAAATAAAAGCCGATTTTTGCAAATGTCTCATTTTGACAAAACGTGAAAAACAATCATTCTGCTTTGATGAAGGACTACACAATTTAGAGAATAATTACTGTTGAGAGGCCGACAACACAGGATTTTTACAATTCCATGACAAACAATAGCTCTGACAATTATAACAATAGTTGTTGTTCTTGATCAATTTTGACACCTCTAATAGAAAGAGCAACATTAGAGAGATTTTAGACAAAGACAAGACACTCCCCACAGATTTTGGTCTATGAGACAAAGTGACATCTTAAACAGCACATTTGAGTAAGTCTGGTTTGTTAAAAAAATGAACAGTAGGAACGGCAACTGTGTCAGGCTGTCGGCATAAAAATGGGCAGCCATTTTGGTCTATTAATCTGCTTTGGAAAGTAATCCGACGGCTCTCATCAGTCTACATGGGGCACTCGTTTAGCGGCAAGATGCTGACGCTGTTAGCTGCTAACACTGGAGCCGCCGCTAAATGCTGGCAAGAGACGCTGGATAACAATGTCAGCATATCTTTTTGCAGCCTTAATTAGTGAGTGAACTCAATTTCAGGATGACGTTATGTGGTTGACATCGGTACCAACAGTTTGTAATGGCAATACAACTG